AACAAACCGACTGACGTTTTTACAGGAAATAGTGCTTTTTGCGTTCCTATGCACTTCTGCATCTGTTCTCCTTTTACTCTCATTTGAGAGAGTAAAATTGTAGTTTGACAGTTCCACAGGTTTTAGTCCGAAGTTCAAAGGAACAGACTAAATAGCACACCTGCACCGATTTCACTGAAACTTGACATGTGCTCTAGTTTTTTTTAGAAATAGAGAATTATGAAATTTTGTAAAGATGGAATAATTGCCACGCCCTCTACTCTTGTGGGCGGAAACATTAAATCTCATCCGATTTCGATCAAATATAGTTTGTAGTCTTTATTTTATTAGAAAAACCTAAATATAAAATATGGGGAAGATTGGATTACTATAACGTTCAAAACTCCCAAAAAATGTGGGCCCAGTTATTAAATGTGATGGAATTTTGGGTAATTTTTGTTTTCTGCTTTCCACTCTCAGAAAACAAAAGGTTATACAATAAAATGACTTAGGTGTCAATACTCGCTTTTTTCCCAATATCTGGTGGGATTTTTTCATTGTTTGAAAAATTCTTTTCGCTAAATTATGCAAACGGAAGCTGAAAATCAAAAATTAAGAAAATCAAAAATTACATATATTTGCAAAGTCGCGCGCAAAGATCAAATTATATATTCATAAAATTCTCTAGAATATTAGTCTAATTTCAAGACCTGACGGACCGGTACTCACACTTTTTTTTACTAATAATCTTTAGCATCTACATTTCAAAGTAAGTTTTTTGGTAAGAAATAGGAAAATAAATGATAAATACCTTCACCTGAATATTCCACGACATTTAGATAATTAATTACAATTGAAAAAGAAACACTTTCTGTAATGGGTTCAGCGCCAAATGCAACTAAACTGATTCGTCGGTATCGCGCCCATTCCCGTATTTTTTTGGAAATGTATCGTTCGTGAAGAAGGGGGGTGAGTAAATAATGTAAAATTTGGTACTTATGACTTTAACTATTCCCTCTCTAAGTCAAACCGGTTTTTTTACCAACTGTCACCATGACTTTTTTCTACCTGCCTCCATATAGTCGAAACACTTTGCGTCGTTTGCTTTTACACGAGAAATCTCAAAATCGGCAAAACCAAAGTAGCGGTTTGCAGAATGCATCACCTTCTGTTCGCTACGTCGAGAGAGGTCAATTACATGCTTAGTTTCAAAGACTCATACGCTAGGTAGAGTATTCGCCCATTTAGGGCCGGTTGGTCAAAGCCTGGTTGACACTAATCATCGGTTAACATCGTTATCGACGT